CTTACATTTACGAGTTTTCACGAATACATCTTCGACTTAGATTTTTTCCCTTATTGATAATAGACATTGGTTACTAAAAGACCCTCAACTTGAACATCTAAAGAGTTTCTTGTACGTCCACAAAAAAAGTTCTCTAGAGTCCCAAAGTTTTTTGTTGGGTGTCCACAAGAAACCAAACTGATCTGATTCTCAAAAGGGCAAAGACCTCTCTCCTATTCTTCTATTCTTGATCCGTTTTTTACGCGATCGAGAATAGCATCAATCGATGTCTCGAAATCTTTTGAACCATCCAAAGTCTCATCATTATTTTCTTCCTCACGTGACTCATTACATACTTCTTCATTCTCTGTTTCTTCACTTTTTACGATCGGTCTTTTGAGAAAGTGCTTGAACCAGTTAACGGAAGATTTGGGATAACGTTCGAGATTGTTGTCGTAATCAACATAGTACAAACCGAACCTAGTTGAATATCCATACTCCCACTCGAAATTGTCTAGTAATGACCACGTGTAGTACCCTCTGACGTCACATCCATCCTATCTGTTATAACATTTAAAACAATAAGTAAAACCCCTTGGTAAATGACAATAGACAAAAATATTATTTAAGAAAATGAAAGATTTATAAGTTATTACTATTAGCAAATGATAAAAGGTTACCGATAAAAATTAGGAATGACATTTAGCACATTGTATTATTGAGTGATTTTTAAAACTACATATACATTTGGTATTCTAGTAAATGAGATATACCAATATTTAACGCATTATATAAATAAAGGGATATAGAATCTCAATATAATAGAGGATGCTAGAATTAAGAGTTTAAGACTATCCAAAATTATCAAAGATGTTATCTATTATAGGGATGACACATTAATATAATGGAAGCATAAGGAAAATTGATAGAATTAGATGTTTACATAACATAGAAAACAACATGTTACAGAAAAAATCAGGCGTCCTACAAAAGTTTAATGCTAGAATTAAGAGTTTAAGACTATCCAAAATTATCATTCGATAAAATAGGTATTCACATAAAAAATAAAAGTAGTACAAAATCTTCATTCGATGGATTGTAAATTGGGGCAGATTTATCTACATTTTTATGTGCATACGGTGATTATTGTATGTATATACTTTTGATTTTCAAAAGAGACCACAATATCGTTTTAGCAAAAAAAAAGAAGAACAAAAAAGAGACCACAATATGGTAAGTTTTTGTTTTTTAGTCAAATATCATTCGGAAACTGCAAAACGTAAACAATTTTATGAATGATTATTGACAAAATTAAAGTTAATATAATGTGTTTTAAAAATACATATACTTAAACTAGTAAAAGCAAACATTATTTTTTGCATTTAAAACAATCAGATTTTTAATATAAATTATATATATATAACCTGTGGACCGGAATTTACATTATAACTTTTTGGAGTTGTTGACTATGGTCCTTAATATATGTTATCCTAAATGTGTCCTTGAGCATCTCTTCTCGTGTTTTTGTACCATCATCGTAGTCATAGATGCCTGCAAAAATAATTTAGCAAAGAAAAATGGTAACAAAAAAAGATTTATTCAATTTAACCATTAACTAAGAAAAACTATACTGTTAATAGATTAAAATTATATTTTTTCTTCACCATTCTCTTTTATGTAGGAGGCAA